AGGACTTCGTAGAATGACGGGTACAGATGGAAACGTTTCCAGATGCCAAAGTTGTGCTGTATCAGTTTCACGCAATTACTTATTGGAAGTAGGTAATGAAGCGATCAACGTTCCGCTTGACTATCTCTTTACAGGAAGACCTCATCGTATTGATGACAAGGCTGTTATACTGGTAATACTTCGTATATTTAGCTTATTTATTTTTTTAATTACGATTTAACTCCCTTTTTCAATGTTTAAAGCACCAGTGAAACTGACTACGACAAACGGTATGGTGCATTAAGGCGTTATTGTGAAGAGCAGAAACGACGGACGATTTTCACGTATTTTGAAAGAATTGGAATTCGTGCCGGGATAGGTGGTCCAATTTTTCTCGTAGCAAATTTTTCGCGGCTGGAAATACGACCACCAACCGTATTGAATCAAATTGGAACCAAGTTAAAATGCTGTTGGGCACAAAACTCGGATCGACAAGACAACTACGGGGCTACTTCAACATCAGATCATTATCGCCCATAAGATCGCCTCTACAATTGGTCAGCATAGCTCACCACACGGGTACCGAAGACCGTTCCTCGATTTCTGAGAGGTGTTGCCATCAGATTGTCTACGAACATAACAACAACGCTTAAAAAAGAGTGGGTTTGTAACGCTTATGGGCGACGCAAAATGCGAACGAATTGCATCAAGTGTCCCCGGTTGGAAAGTCCACTGTTTCAATGAGATACACAGATGCGATGACGTCGAGTGGACATGTACATGTTTAATTTACAACAGTCATCATTTTCCATGCCGCCATTTAATGTACGTGGCTGACACGGAGCATGAATTCGAGCAACTTCCTGCTATGTCGATCGGTAAACGATGGAGCATGTCATGTGCGGTAGATGTCAGGGATGATTTAGCGGCGGCAGCAGCCACATTGCACCCAATTGTGTTATTGTCAAAGCTAAAGTCGCCCAAGGTAAGGTCGCCGTATGGGTCGCCGGAAGGGTCGCCGTTTGATGAACAGTTTCAGGAGACAGGAGTTCAAAAGCCGATGAAAGAGGTGGTGTACGTCGTCTTCGCCGTAACGAGCGCGCACATCAAGTCGCATTATGGTCGGCTGAAAAATATTCCTACGCAAAGGCGATGCTGGAACCTCTTCTCGACCATTTGTCAAGTCTGTCAAGCGCTGAGTTTTATCAAGATCTTAACACGTAGAAAGAAACCACAGAGTTGGGATTAAAATGCGAGAAGGCTAGACCGATTATTTTCGACCAAATATCACTGATGGTAAAATTGAAAGTGATTCTTCTCTTACATTTGATCCTACAGACACAATGGAGACAGTGAAACTAATCCAGAAATTCGAGAACGAATCCGTGAGCAATGGTGATCACACCAATGATGATAGCGAGCTGGAGGATGACGTAACGCCAACTCAGACTACGGAGCCAGTTCACAATGCGAAGAATACGAGCTACCATGCCTAAATCAAATGATTCAGCACAAGAATCACCAGCGATGCTTGAAATATCGATTAAGGAGAAATCCTGTCCAAGCGAGAAACTGTGGTGGAGTGGGATTCGCAAAATCGCGTTGCGATCCACTCAGACACACAGTGCCCTGGACTGCCGACTGACGGAGGGGGTACTCCGATAACCGTGGGGTTGCTGAGGGCTCA